ACATTCCTAATATTTAGGAGCTGGAAACATGTGGCAGCATACTGCACCTCCATTCTGTGACCTTGGATCTTGTTATTACCATCTTACCGTCCATGCAGTTACTAGTAATGCTGAGCCTTTATTCTGTTTTGATTTACATCCTTAGAGCTGGTGAAAGGTGGTCAGTTCTCATGATGCAGGCTAGACAGGTGCAGAACAGTTTTAAACCACCATAGTTGTCTGTTCTCTCTACATACACTCTGTAAGCTGAGTACCACGTCCGTCTGGTTCCTTATTGTAACTGCAGCACAGACAAGAGACGTGATGCCCACATGTGCACTTGATGAACAAGGTGATTCAAGTTCAGAGGAATTGGTTTCACTCATATGTGGAACATAAGGAATAGAGCAGAGGACCACAGGGGAAGGGAGGGAAAACTGAATGGGAAGAAATCAGAGAGGGAGACAAACCATGAGAGACTCCGGACTCCGGGAAACAAACTGAGGGTTACAGAAGGGAGGGGAGTTGGGGGACAGGGTGACCAGGTGATGGGTATTAAGGAGGGCACGTGCTGGGATGAGCAATGGGTGTTATACCCAACTAATGAATCGTTGAACACTACAACAAAAACCTATGACGTACTATCTGCTGGCTAATTGAACATAAAAAAATAATAAATAAACTAGATTTTCTAAAATAAAAGAGGAATTGACTATAAAATCTAGATTTTTCGGTTTTAGACAAAAGCAATTGAGATGAATGATGGGGAAGCCAAATTGTGTAGAAGCTCCCTCCAAGCTCAAGTTATTTGGTTTGTTACTAAGCTCTAATTTCTGGAAGAGGTAAATTTCTTCTTAAAGGAGAAGACAAGATAATAACAGCACTGACTTCAGGTGGGACTAACTGAAACTCCTAGCATGGGCCTTTGATCAAAGCAGCACAACACTGGAAGCACCAAACTTCATCTGAACAACCACTGGTTCATAAAACAGAAAGATGAAAAATTTGAAGAACACTTTGAATGTTCCTATACTTTGTCATCCAAATTCACTTATGTGCAAGACACACATAACACATACACACATGAATATATAAAGCATTTACTTATTTACTTCCTGGCTGCTTTGCTGTAAAGCCTCTGTTCATTTGGGAAACCACACATTTTACCCCAACCATTATTGACCATATTTACTTTGTCAGCTAGCTTAGCTCACAGCTTCTCGTCACACCCTCAAGCTTTCTGGTCACAACTTCAAACCTCAATGGTTTATCATTTCACACCAACATGCTGTTCTTCCATTTGTAGGCCAAAGTGAAGGATATCTAGAGGAACCACCAGGTCCCAGAGAAGGATGGTCTGCATCCCGCTGAGAAGAGTACCTCACCTCGCCGGGTTCCCACCTCCACAGTTAGACTTCATGCCTAACCTTTATGACACTGAGCAATACTCATTTTCTGGCTCGTGCTGCCAAAACTCAAAAGACCTCCTTTGAAGTTTCTTGTTCCCCTAACTAGTTACCTCATTTGTCCTTCTTGTCTTTACAATAAAATCTGTTCTAATGCTCTAGAGGTAAAATCCTTTATATGGGCCCAACTGCCCCCCAGCAGTCTATCAAACAGTACCCGTCCTTCCTCCAATTTCTAAATAACTAAATGAGAAGACCACCTCCATCTCAGGAAATAAGTAGCTTGAAAAAATTATGGCAAAAAAGGGACTTCAGAGGGCTATTTGGGCTCTCTGCCATTAAAGGTAACCTGTCTATTCACAGGTGGAAAAGGAAAATAGGTCTGCAAAGTAGGGGCATAATTAAGAATTCTGATGTATCAGTTAGTGTTCCCTCCACCATCTCACACAGTTCCAGACTCTGAACTTAACCTCAAATCATTCATTTGATCAACCTCAATCATTACCTTTGTTGTTTATTTTTTATTAAATTTTGTGGATGTTCTATTCTAGTGCATTACTATATAATGATAGGAAGCTAATTATTAAAATAACCAACAAACTTGATCACCCAAAAACCTGCACACAGATATTTATAGGAGCTTTATTTATAATCGCCAAAACCTGGAAGCAACCAAAGTGTCTTTCACTAGATAAATGGATAAGCTGAGGTCCACCCAAGCAATGGAATATTATTCAGTGCTAAGAAGAAATGAGCTATCAAGTCATGAAAAGACATGAAGGAAACTTAAATATGTAAGTGAAAGAAGTAAAAGAAGTCAATCTAAAAAGGCTACATATTATATAACTCCAACTGTATGACATTATGGAAAGAAAAAACTGTGGAGACAATACAAAGGGTAGTAGCGATGATAAGGGTCAGTGATGAGGGTAGGGAGAACTGGATGGAGCACACAGGAATTTTAGGGTAGTGAAAATAATAGCTCTGATACTATAATGATGGATATATATCATTATACATTTGCTTAAACCCATAGAATATACACTGCCAAGAGTGAATCCAAAAGGAAACTATGGGCTTTAGGGTGATTATGATGTGTCAGTGGAGGCTCATCAAATATAACAAATGTACTACTCTAGTGGAAAATGTTGGTAACAGGAGGCTATGCATGTGTGCGGGCTGGAGTATATGGGAAATCTCTGTCCCTTCCTCTCCCTTCTCTGTGAACCTAAAATTGCTCCCAAGGAAGTCTTTAAAATAAAAAAAAAAAAATCACAGGGATCAGTAGTTGAACTTTCAGCACAACCCATGTTCACAGGTCTCACATATTTCAAAAACTCCTTTTCGCTATGCCATTATCTATTGCTTTGGTTGAGCAAAGTTAAAGTGTCTACTTGAGAAATTAGGATCACAGCTGTGATCCAAAAGACACATCCTTATCCAAAGTGTTTGAATATACAACTCTGTGGCAGGACTATGTGCATATGCAAAGCTCATGGTAACTGAAAAGTTTTCCATAGCTACAGAAATGAATTTCTTCCCCTTCGGACTAAGTTACAAAGACAAAATAATCTGATGGCAGTAAGTACAAAAGACAACCACCTCAATAAACTTTTACAAAGCATCTACTCTGTGGAAAATATTGTGCTAGATGCTGGGAAGCCACACTCCATCCCATAAAAGGGCCAAAGGAAGGATGGGGCACAGAACCGATACTTGGAAAATAAGTTTTGATTATTGCAAGAGGACTCTTTATTATGGGGAGGAAGGGAAGGGAACATGTATCTGCTGACCTGAGTGCTATAACATTCCAGTTTCATATAAAACTAGTATTATACAAAATTTAATTGTTAGTGATCATTGTCCACCAGCAGCTTACAATCTAGGAAGAAGCAGTTCAAACAAGGTATAAGAAAGTATAAATAAACAATATAAAATATTTATCCTAATGATGTAGCCTCCAATCTTGGTTTGAATGTGAGAAACTCAGTAGACAGTGGGGACAGAGCATAACAAGTCAGCACAAGAGGGAAGTCAGAGAATGATGACAAGGAGTTAACACGTTAAATTGAAGAACCATTTCTCCCAACTTTGCTCCATCTTGATCATCTTACTCAATGTCTTACTCAGGAGCCACAGAATATTGAGGAGCAAACAAAAATTGTGGGCCCACAAATTAAAAGAGCAATCATTTCTCCCTTTCTCCTTGAGGTTGACATCTAAGTATAAGAAAATACATCATTTGACAATGCATATCCATCAAGGTCTACAACTTGAACAGAAATGTTTATTATCGTTAAGAGACCTGGAGGTGATAACAGTAGAGTCTTGCACAGTGGAGATCAGGTGACTTTTCAGGACAAACCTGGAGGATGGCCATGGATTGTTTATATAATGTGAAAGACCAGACAGGACTCCATGGCAAACACGCTGCCAAGACATGCTCTAGAGCTCTAATATCCAACGGGTAGCTACAAGGCACACTGGCTATCTACATTTAATCAAAATTAAATAGCACTAAAAAAAAAAATGGTTTGTTGACAGCAATATACCATTTTATTCTTAGATGAAAAATCAACAGGACATGATTTAGACTAGACTTACTTCAGTAAAAAATTGTTCATTATAGAATCTGAATTGGCAGACGGATATTCATTTTACAATTCTTGTAACAATTTCTATGCTTGAAATTCTTCATAATAAAATTTGAAGAAAGTTTAATAGAACTATAAATTCCGTTATACTAGCCACATCTCAAATACTTAAGTTGCCACGTATAGTACCTAGTGACTACCTTATTGGACTACAGAGATATAACGTCTCCATCTTAAAGAAATTTACTGGCCAGAACCACTCTAGAACCGAGCTCAGGAATACTGGCAAACTTCAGAGACCAATTCTTCCCAATAAGGTCAGTTCTGACTGTCCCAAGGGGGAGTGAATTATCACTACCAGGACTACACACTTTTAAAGAGTGGGGTTCAGATGGAGGATTAACAATCCCAGGGGCATAGTTACTAACAGGGAAGTAATGAAAGATCAAGTCTATCAGAAAGACGTTGCAGGACTGAGAATTATGAGTTAAACCTATGCTCATTAATAGTCAGAATACACACACACACACACGCATTAAAGTCTCAATTTTAAATAACTTGTAATGCTGAGAACTCATTTAGTTCCTACAGAAACACAAAATATATTCTGAAATATCTTATTGACAAAAATCTACTGTGAAATAAGGAATAAGGGCATAACAGAAGATGTGTTTCACCTGGGGTGCTGACTTGACTCTTGTAACCCTTTAGGCAATTACTGATTACACCAAAAATATTTAAACTTTAATAATTCTGAGGGGTTTGGGATACGTGTGAAAAATCCAGAACCTTCTGTAAACAACTTCTATAGGCACCAAAAATTACGTCCCATTAGGTATGGAAGAAATAAGGAGAGATCTGCAATTGCCTTTAATGGATGAAAATCTGGCAGCATTCTTCTGCCTGAAAGAACTTCTGCCATAGGATGTACCTACTAGAACAATTCTTTATTATCTTAAAGTGAATAAAGAGACTTAGCCTTCTGAAAAAAAGAACAAAAACAAAAAACCCACTCTCCATCCAGGCTTTGATATGTTTTATTAGAGCAAACTCTCAACAAAAGGTTGCTTTTATTTACATAATTTCATGCATGAGGACTATCCAGACCACTTGGACCCAAGTGAGAATAATCAGTAAGCCTGCTTATGTATTTCCTTATTTTTAGTTGGCATACAAAAAAAAACTTCACATTTATAAAAATCCCAATAGTGTAAATGACAAACCCATCCCTTAATTAAATATAAAAACAGCTTCAAAAACATACAATTTAGATTGGTTTAATCTTGAAATGTAATCCAATAAGACTAAAAACTAAACATTTCAGGTCCTGTACCAAATAGTAAAATACTCGAAGGCCTTCAGGATCCCTAAAATTTAAAAAGGCAAAAGTTACTTTTTTGTTCCTAAGATGAAACACATAATTTTAAAGTTAATTCCCAAAACAAAACAAAACAAAGGAATTCAGGAGAATGGATTTGCTGCAACTAAAATGAACATACTGATTACCATCTCTGTCTTTTCTACAAAATTCATTTCATATTTAAGGTGTTTATTTTCTTATAAAAGAAATAGCTATACATAATAAGAACATAGAAGGCAGATAAAATCATAAAGACAGAAAAAAATAATACTCCTAATACTATAAAATGTCACTCCTCCCAGGATAACTATAAATGTTTTGGGGTTTCCCTATTTTCATAACTAAAATCATTCCCTGTGCCCTTTTTAATATTACTTTTTCCTTCATTTGTGAGTTATCAATAATTCTCTTTGTTAAACATTTGGATTTCTCCCCAATTATAAGACTTCAATGACTAGGTGCCTGGGTGGCTCAGTCGTTAAGCGTCTGCCTTTGGCTTGGGTCATGATCTCAGGGTCCTGGGATCAAGCCCTGCATCAGGCTCCCTGCTTGGCAGGAGGCCTGCTTCTCTCTCTCCCACTCTCCCTGCTTGTGTTCCCTCTCTCGCTGTGTCTCTCTCTCTCTCAAATAAATAAAAAATCTTAAAAAAAAAAAAAAAAAAGACTTCAATGACCATCTTCATGAATAATACAGCGTTTTCATTATTTGAGAGTATTTCCCAAAAATAGATGCTCAGAAATGAAATCACTAAGTCAAAGATGAATTTATTTTTATTTTTTTAATTTAGTTAATTAACATATAATGTATTATTTGTTTCAGGGGTACAGGACTGTGATTCATCAGTGTTATGTAATATCCAGTGCTCATTACAACCCTCCCTAACGTCCATCACCCAGTTACCCCATCCCCTCAGCCCCCTCCCCTCCAGCAGCCATGACTTTAAAATGTTAGCTTCATGATGTAATGAACACTGGGTATTATATAAAACTGATGAGTCACTGACCTCTACCTCTGAAACTAACAATATATGATATGTTAACTGATTGAATTTAAATAAAAATAAATTAAAAAAATAAAATGTTAGCAGCTTTTGATGCATAATTATCAAACTGTTTTCCAAAAAACACTGTACCAATCTAAAATCCTAGTTAGGGTATGAACGCCACATCCTCATCAACTGTGGGAAAATCAACTTGATAGTTCAAAAGCATCTGATTGGTCTTTATGAATGTAGCCTTTTGTATCCAATAGTTACTATGCATTCATTCCTTTCTCCCTTCCTCTAATAAATATTTACAAAGCACTTCTTGTGTGCCAGGCCACTGTGCTAACTTTGGTGACACAGCAAGATTCTCATGGAGTTCACATTCAAACCAGAAAAGCAAACAAGTAAGTTCTTACAAGTTAGGGTAATAGAAGAAAAAGCACTAAGAAAACATTCTGAGGCATAAGAGGGAAAAGAAGTGGAAGCATGGAAATTTTTCAGACAAAAACAATACTATGTCCTACAAAGGCCCAGAGGAAACAAACTTGGGAAGACAGAGGAAGCTAAAGCCATACTTAAGTTATACTGACTTTCTTTAATTTCTTTCAAATATTAAACTCAAGGAGGAGAATGATGTGGTATTAGGCTAATGAGGCTGATATAATCCAATAAGGATTTCTTTTAAGTTTTATGAAACTCTATCCAGATTTTTACCAAAAATAGCTATTAAAATTTGGTTGCTGTTATGCATATGGTCAGATTAAGATTTGTTTGACAATCAGAAAAATACACTGCTAAATATTTGACAGCAAGTCTTCAATGACATAAAAGTCAGAATTATATCTGCAGAATAAACCAATAAATTGCCACTGAAATAATCCTAATAAACTGGTGATTGTTCTAAAATGACCCTCTCAAATAAATTATGTCAATTTTTTTTTTTAATTTTTTAGATTTTATTTATTTGTCAGAGAGAGAGTACAGGCAGGGGAAGCAGCAGGCAGAGGGAGAAGCGGGCTCCCCGCTGAGCAGGGAGCCCGATGCAGGACTCAATCCCAGGACCCTGGGATCATGACCTGAGTCAAAGGCAGACGCTTAACTGACTGAGCCACCCAGACATCCCTAAATTACGTCAATTTAGTTAAAATACTTCAGCATACTTACTTTGACTGATTTACATCAATAAGAGAACCTATTTTCGATGTTGTAAAAGAAATATGTTCATCTCCAATTACAATTTCAAGCTCCTGAAAAAAATAAAACAGATTAATGTAGTTAATATAAAACTCCACCTCAGAGGTATTGGGATTCTTGTTACCAAGAGGTCCCAATTTAGCTGCAAGTTTTCTAGCAGTCATAGAGGAGAAGGAAAAGAAAGAAAAAAAGAAAAAAGAAAAGAAAAAGGAAAAGAAAAAGGAAAAGAAACTTGACCTGACAGACATAAACTATGTTTGTAAAATAAAAACCTTATCAACTGCTCAGGAGTCCCCAATTTTAGGATCAACCAAGAATTGCTTTCCAGAGATCTCATAAGTAAGATACTATAAATATGAATGATATATGTAAGAGTACACATAAACATTTCTTATGTCAGTAAAAACTAAAGACATAACTTTGAAGCACAATGCTATAAATATGGGTATAAACCTATTTTTAATAAATAAATACAAGCACATTTAACCTTTCTACCAGGATTTATAAGTAAAATGCACAATACTAATAGCACCATTTGGGCATCTACTATGTATGAGGCACTGCTGCTAGGGACTTTACAAACATACTCTGTAATCCCTAAAACACCCTTCTCAGTGTATTTTACAAATGCAAAATACAAGACTCATAAAGCATAGGCAAAAAACATTGATGTATATACAATCACGAGTAAGTGATGGTATTGATATTTGAGTCCTCGGCTATTAAGACTGAAAGACTCATTGTGGTTTGACTTCACAAAGCATTGAAAATTAAGACCTACTAAAACAAATACAACATGCTGTAGACATTCTTAGCGTGCCATAATTATTGTAGAAATTGTTCTCTAGATTTTATCTGCAAATCTAAAACCAATAATTACGAGGCTATGTGTGTAGTGATTTATAAGGTTAAATAACAAATGCCATTAAAGATGGTCTTAGCTCTGTATTTCATTATGGGACCTAATTATGCACAGTTTTTGGCATGCACAAAAATGGAGAACTAAGGCTCTCAAACGATCATAAAATCTTTGACTTAAAGATCCAATAGATGATTTCTGGAATATGCCTACCCCTCCCCACTAACCAAAACATATAAATACATCATCAAGTCAGTAGATGAAAATACTGGGTTCTCCCCGAGTCTAAGAGATAAAAGGTTTCCTGTTGTAGTGTCTGTTTTTTAGTACGTAGGTACCTATAGCATAAAACAAACCGAGATTTAAATTTACTTTTAATGTGTAACATAAATACTGTTAACTATTACCTTTGCTTTCCTAAATAATACTTCTTTAAATAGAAGAGTTAAATGACTGCTACAGAATGTCAGCATCTATTTGATTTCTCCACATTTTCTTCTAGTCAAAAAAGGGGATATAAAGTATAATTCTCAGGAATATACAAAAGTGAAATTAAGTGTTTCTTCCTCCAGGAGTTGTATTTCATTTCTTCAAGAGTTGAAAAAGCCCAAACTGTCTTTCTACAGAGTGAAACTAAGCCTTCAAACTTCTCCAGAAGCCCTCTAAGAAACATTAATTACTCTGAAGGGAGTAAGAGGCAAAAGCAATGATCACTTTGAACAAAAAAACCAATCAAATCCCTCTCTTGGGCATAAGGGTGCAAATAAGAGTTCTCAAAGTTATAAAAATAAAGAAAGTGAATTTTACAATCAATAAGAATCCTCTCTTGAATTTCACAAACACTGTACTTATTCTTAACAGAAGTAATTAATATACAATAGCAATTATCCATAACAGTGTGAAAACATCCTAACTTTAACCAGTGAGGCTACAGAGAAGACTGGTCAGAAAGATGTCTAAGTTTAGAGCTCTGCACTGACTCCTTTACTATTCAGAGGTAGAACAGAAAATGAAACTAAGTGAAATAAAATTAGAGTATTTACCGGGTATCTACTAAATGGAAAACCAAAGAATCGAGGAGGATCTACGCTAAGTAAATACGGAGAAACGTAACAATTATATCACCAATTTCTAACAAGTATGCATGTAAAGAACCACTGAATACGAACCTGTCGGCCAACTCTGTCAGGGGGAGGCCACAACGCATCATCTTCTTTTGTAATTTCACTGTCGTCAATGATTCTCTTCAGTTCCTCCATTACACTCTTGTGCACATAAGCCTGAAAACAAGTTACAATAAAAATTCCACAATGTCTATTACTTCCCACAACTCAGAATGAAATGATAATATGAAGTTACAAACCCTAAATATTCAAAGAGAATATCACAGAAGAATCTAATACTGATCCTAAAAGTACAAGATGGGAGACAATCACTCATCCTTATGATTTTATTAACTCTCTCGCCCTTTAATAGGTATTTGTTTCCAAATTAAAAGAAAAAAAAAAGATAACTTACACTAGTCCCTTTTAACACGGGACTCAAATACCTCTGAGTGGTTAACAATGATAACAGAAAATCTGTGAAGTGAATAGAGACAAATACAAGTAGACATCACAGTCACTGCTTTGACCTTTTTCTTATCCTTAACTTTTGAGCTTTTCATTTAAAATTCTGTAAAATACTGTATTTAAATCTTGACTATCAATTAGTTTAAATAGGGAATGGGATAAAAAGACAAAGCTAATTATGAAATGAATGAAATTATATGTTCAAAGTTGGAACTACAACTTAATATGATCAGATTACTTCTTTGGCTGTTACACATGCTACATTTAGATCTATTTAAATAGACTCCTTTTTCAATCTCTAAATTGGCTTCTTTACAGCAATATGCCTTAGATGTACTTTTGTAAATTCAAAAAAAGACATGAAGAAAATGGTCTAAATGTAAAAAATTAGACATTTGAAAAGAACTTACCTCCTTTCTGATCATGACATCATTTTTGTAATTGCTGTTGTTGGCATATCTAAGCTTTCCTGTGGGGAGTGGAAAAAAATTCAGTCTATAACAGCAAAAACCACTAAAAAAAAAAAAAAATAAAGAAATGACACTGTAAGCAATTTCAAAGGTACAGACCATTTTATACTACTACTTTTATTAATATTTCCACCCTTTTAGCATAAGATCAATGCTAGACCTGTAAACACTCAAATATTTGTTGGTAAAATTTGGCTAAAGTTGAAGCCAGTCATTTTCAAAACTTTCATACCTTCAATAGATGAATTTTTATTCAACATAATTTTTAAATATTTCATGCTTTCAATATAATTCAATATAATAGGAGGGTCATTCTTTTTTTTTTTAGGTTATGTTAATTACCATACATTATATCATTAGTTTTTGATGTAGTGTTCCATGATTCATTGTTTGTGTATAACATCCAGTGCTCCATGCAGAACGTGCCCTCTTTAATACCCATCACCAGGCTAACCCATCCTCCCACCCCCTCCCCTCTAGAACCCTCAGTTTGTTTTTCAGAGTCCATCGTCTCTCATGGTTCACCTCCCCCCTCCGATTTCCCCCCCTTCATTCTTCCCCTAGAAGGGTCATTCTTAAGGCTCATTTGCTTAAGCTATGTCATGAACTAGACAGGGAATCTGAAAAAGGAACTAACATTTATTTTTAAAGCCTATGTTATATATCTGTATTGGCCCTAAGTGATTTACCCAGAAAATTTAACCTAATTGGTAAAACAATACTTAATAGGTTTTGTTGTCTCATCTATTTATACTTGACAGAACAGAGTTAAGTAACTTGCCCAGGGTCAAAAAGATTCATTTCTAGGTCTACCTTCTTCCAATACTCATGCTTTCCCCAATACTCCAAAATGTTCTTTTAATTATTTCCCTCAAATTAATATATGTACACAATATGGCAATGCTACTATTTTAGCACTTTGACTAAGATGCATACAAACTATGTACTTCTTCTAAATAAAAGTTGGTCAGTTTGTTAGCTGACCTATATTTAATTTTAATCCATCATGACTTTTGTACTCCCCGATGCATGCTTCTCATCATGGCTATGGTCAGTTGCTCAGACACAAATGTAATGTGGTCCTGATCTCTGAAATGATAGGTTTTCCTAATGAGGTGACCCCCTCACTACTGAAGGAAATATGTGGAATGGTGTGGTGGCAGATAACCGGATGAGAGTCACTGTTCTAGCACGAACTCTCCGTGATAATATCAGACTACTTAATTTATGTGACTGGCTAAACATGATATAGGCAAGCTGAAAGCTGTTCAAAGGCAAAGGCACTAAAAAGAGTATCACCTAAGAAAAGAATAGATGGAGAATTCAGATAAATTTGGCTCCTTAGCTAAATTTAAAAGAGACATGGGGAGAACAAGGGAAAATAAAGTGATTAAGGTTTCTGAACTGCAGGGCTGTAGCTACCTTGAGTTCTTCCTTAAATGTCTGATACTCTTCCTTTTCCTAATATGTGATGCTTCTCCACTTTTTTTTTCACTCTCACAGAACTTTGTCCAAAGCATAATACACCACTTAACATCCACACTGTTTTATGGCTAGTTTCATGTCTGTGTCACCCGCCAAGACATAATTCCTTCAGAGAAATTAAAGAGACTTACTCATTATTGTACCCTAGATTTTGGTATTTACATGTTGCCTTGCACATTAACACGCATTCAAAGAAAGAAAAGTCTATGCAGGTGGACCATCCTTGTTCTAAGCAGAGTTCAGTATACAGTAACTCTCTGAAGAGAATCAGGACTCTCAAATGATAGAATATGCTGCACCTACAGGGCAGCAGACAGTCCCACCTCACCCTTTGCTCATGCTGTTTTCAGCAGTCTGAATGGTTTTTTTCCCCCTCACAGGCCAAGAAAATACCTATTCTCATTTCAAGACTCATCTTGAAAGAGAACTTTGGCTACCCACATTATTATGATCTCAAACCCACCTTTGCCCCACATTTTTTTGGCAAGTATTGTTGGCATTTTGGAGACAGTCTTTGAGATGCTAGTCCACTGTCTTCCCGGTGCTGGCCTCTCTGAAATAAATTCCTTTCTTGTCTCACCACCAGTAGATTCTCTGCCTTTGGATTTTGTCAGCGGTGAGCCCCCAATCTGGTCTGTTTGGGAAACCCAGAGCAGCCCTGCGCACCAGCTACAATTTCAGCTGTTACCTTCTCTAGGAAGCTTTCCTTGACTCCTAACCATTCCCCCCTTTTTATTCTTAATGCATACTATGGGGAACAACAACTATATTTAAGCACCCAAAACACATAATTACTACACCCATTTTCCCTTCTTCAGTTCAGTGCACTTGACGTCATCCTTGAACATTTTAAAGAACATCCCATCACGCGGTTGTCCAATGGATGCTTAAAATCTTCCGGTGACCGGTAATTTTCGCACTCCCCGGTTCAACCATTGTATTCATTAGGCGCTGTATGTAAGGCCACGTGTCTAGGAAAAGGGATGAGACCTACTCTGAAGATTCTGATTACCCTGTGTTCAAGTTTTCAGTATCTGGCAGGATCAGATTTTCTCAATTAACTTACACCCATTAATTTTCTTTTATTCACAGATCCACTTTATGCTTCTGATAGTCTTCGGTTCGGATTTACTTCGACTCTAGCAGTGACCTCAGTCCCCAATATATACCTGCAAGCCCACTGAAGCGGAATCACCCCACTCCGCCTCCTCCGCGTCCTCTCCACCCCGCTTACCCTAGACGCGCACCGAGCTAAGCTGCGGCGGCGGCGCCGCTCCTCTGCTCACCGTCTGGCCGAAACTCGAACTCCAGAAACTCGTGTCCAAACTTGCCCTTGTGTCCTACGTAGTAGCGCAGGTAGAAATCGCTGGCCATAGCCATTTTTGTCCCCCTGAAGTCAGCCCAAGGCCTGGCCAACGTGCCGCCGGGCGCCTGGTAGCGACGTCATCGCCCGGGATAAATGCGTCACTGCGAGCGCGCCTTTCCGGTCCCGGGTCACCAAAGGAAAGCGGGAAGGCCGACTCTCGTTCCAGAGTCTTAGAGGCGCCGGGGCGAAAGGAACTTTACTAGGGTTGAAGAACATTTTTTTCCCAAAATTAAGTGGATAAGATTATATTAGCAAAACACAGAAGTGTGGAAAATGTGAACGCATTTTTTATGGGTTTAGAATTAAGGTTTGCAAGTCGCTTTTACTTTTCGGGTCTCTAATTCTCGCGGCATCCTGTCCTCACGAGGTGGGTGTGGCATTATTCCCCTCTGACTGGTGGAATGAGAAAGATAAAGCCCAGAATCAGAATGGTAGAGCGGGATTACCTCTCTTTGCTCCAGTTAGATTCCTAACCGGAGCTTTACCCTCTGGACAATGACTGCTAGTTATCCGGCAGCTAGAAGCCCAGAGTAGAGACGAAGTAGAAAGAATCCATCAGAAAAGAGGTCTGAAGTTTAAAAAGCACATTGAAACGAAAGATCTCTGATAGTCACGGTAAAACTTTCATCATTCAATAAGGGTTAATCTTAGTAGCCTATGGAGTTTCGGCAGTTTGACTTAAGATCAAATGGTTTAGCCCACGTTTCTTTTTTTTTTTTTTTCTTTTTAAAGATTTTATTTGAGAGAGAGTATGAGCAGAGGGAGGGGCAGAGGGAGAAGCAGATTCCCGGCTGAGCAGGGAGCCCTATGTGGGGCTCCATTAGGGACTCCTGGATAATGACCTGAGCGGAAGGCAGAGGCCCAACCGACTGAGCCACTCAGGCGCCCCAGCCCACCTTTCTTACCAGAAAGAATTAAATTGGGGAGATGAAGGAATGCTGCAATGTGGAATGGGTTTGTTGTTTTTTTTTTAAGATTTTATTTATTTATTTGAGAGAGAGAGAGAGCACGAGAGGGGGTAGGGTCAAAGGGAGAAGCAGACTCCCCGCTGAGCAGGGAGCCCGATGAGGGACTCGATTCCGGGACTCCAGGATCACGACCTGAGCCGAAAGCAGTCGCTTAACGAACTGAGCCACCCAGGCGCCCTGGAATGGGTTTTGAAGGAGGTAGAAGGACAAGGTGAACTTTTATACAAAGTTCACTTTTGAAATATTATTGATCACCCTGTTTTTACCAACAGAGTAATTCTGTTGGGTGACCTTTAACCTTCAGCAGGATTTAGAAGAAAGAGTGGCAGTGAGAAGACCTGGGATTCATTCCCATCGCTTACCTCTACTAACCGTGGTTATTTAGTCACTGTCTACGCCTGTTTGTTCACCAACCAAATGAATATCCTACGATATCCTACAATCAACTTTGCGAAGCTCAGGAATTGTTGAGAAGATCAAATGAGATAATAAATGTATAATAAGCTTTAAAATTTATAAAACAATGATTTTAACAGGCATTATTAAAATTATGTGCCAGAAATGGATGGACACTGGTGATAATTTTAGAGCCCTTTACACTTTTAGTCCAGAGAAGAAAGCAAACAGTAGATAAATATTAACACAAGGAAGCAAACCTTACAAGAAAGAATATTTTTATTCTTTCTTTTTATTCGTTCATTGAGGAAGATGCAGTCACAGCAATAATGGAGCTTTGGATGCCCTGCTCCGGCTCTTGACTCACCAGTGTTCGCTCTCACAGAGGAACAAGTCAGTCAGGAAGCTGCACCGCAGCCATGACTTTTTAAAGACACCAGGAAGACACCCATGGAACCAGCGATTCACCGAATTAGAACCAGCCGCAAGGTAAAATCTTTGGAGAAGGTATGTGCTGACGTGATCAGAGGCACAAAGGAAAAGAATCTCAAAGTCAAAGGACTAGTTCAGATGCCTACCAAGGCTTTGAGAATCACTACAAGAAAAACTCCCTGGACCCACAAGCTACTCATTGATTTACACAGTCCTTCTGAAATTGTTAAGCAGATTACTTCCATCACTACTGAGCTAGGAGCTGAGGTTGAAGTCACCATTGCAGATGCTTAAATCAACCTTTTTAATAAATTGATTATCAGTTGTTTAAAAAAAGGGGAAAGAAAATTTTTAAATGCTGGTAGCACAGCAGAAGAAGCAAGTCATTTTACTGGGGAGTAGGGGAAACTGAAGAAAGGGAAGTATCAGGGAAGTATTGTGACAAGAGGTACAATTTGACTCCGATCAAGTTAAGTATGTTCAGTATATGTTCAGAGGGAGAGAAAGAATTCCAGGCAGAAAACAGCCTGAGCAAAGACACAGTGGTTGGTATGAAAGTATGTGATTTGGGAAAGCGAAGAAATTCACTATAGTTAGAAGATAAGGTTCATGCAAGTAGAATAACTAGAAAGGCAGACTGGGCCAGATTATGTTGAGTCTATATTAACACTTATATAACTGTCAATATAGATATCTATATTAACCATTGTATAAATGTTAATATAGAAAGATTGTTCAGTGCCTATATATACTGCCATTATGGAAAATATACAAGAGACATAAAGCACTATCCCTTACCACTAAGGTGACTAACTGTTCCGGTTTGAACAGGACTGGGGAGTTTCCTGGGATGTGGAACTTTTGGTTTTAAAGCCTGCAAAGTCCCAGGCAAACAGAGATGAGTTGGTCAGTGTACTTACTACAAGAATAACCCACAGAAATTTGACCACAATATCCCATAGTGGCTCTGAAAATATAAGCAGTAACCCATTTGGTTTGTTTTTTGCAGGGAGCCTCATTCAATATAGATTCCCTAGTGCACATCCTCCAGATTTTTGGCACACATACCAGTGTTCATCTTCATGCTTACATAAGAGAGCTACAGGTACCAGAATTTAATACAATGTAAGTAGTGCATGTGGAATGCATAGTGTTGAGATCTTTATCTATAGGCCAATTATTGTCTTTATTCCCTAAAAAGACTTCTGAGTTAAAGACTAATCCTCTCTAACCCTATCTGTCTTTAAGAGGAAATGTGAAAATATATGTACTTAATCCTTTATATATGAAAAGAGCCTCACTATCTCTTGTATCTGATAAGGATTGCAGAGTGATAAAGCATTTGTGTTTTGTGGTCTTCTTGGATGTTATACAACAGAGATGTGGAAACATTCTGAACGGCTCTTGAGCACTTGAAATGTGGCTGTCGAGACCAGGAACTGAAGTTTTTCTGTTTAAATATTATTTCATTTGTATGAATTTAAACTAATATTTAAATAGCCACGTGTGTCTATTGGCTACTGTGTTGGACAGTGAAATTATATAAGAACCACTTCATACACTTTTACTTGCTGGAAATAGTGAAAATATTTTTCAGACACTGAGAAATCTCAATCTCAGTTGCCGTAGAGTTCAAATTAGAGCATACTTCCCAGTATCACCAGTTTATTTATGGAAACAAATGTTTGGGCATCTTAAATGAAGCCAAATAAAGTACTATTTCCGCCTTTGCTAATGCAACCTAATCTGTGTTAGCTTTAAAATATACTTCTGAAGTAAAGAAATACACGTTTTATTTCCAACTCCAGCCAAAATTAAGACTTAATGATTTAATCAAATACATAATATTCATTGATAAAATAATGATTTTCCCCCTGAGATTTTAAGTTTATTGCTCTCAGCTGCACAGTGATGAATCCAGTCAGAGGGCTATAGTCAGAGATGATTATTTCTTAGAAGTATTAATTTAATCTTTTAAAATGTTCTGATTTTTCCTACATCGAAAATTCTTTCTTCTTTTGATCTCTCAAGTCTGCTCTGTCCTCACACTTTTCTTTTGCCTTTTACCTCACTATTTAAAATTATCAAATCATTCCTACTTAAAATTTTCAGAAATATGTCCTCAATTTCCTGAGATAAACGGTGGAAAGGATAGGTTTTTGTTGTTGTTGTTGTTGTTTTCATTTGTTTTCTTTATTTTATCAGTAGCTTTTAAATAGTTTGAATTTGTATTTACAGAACAAAAGCTGCCAGGGCTATCTCATTCCATTAAATGGGTCAGAGTAATAAACCAAGAATGTTATATAATCTAAATCAACATTCTAAGGTAATTAAAAAAATTTTAATGTCAGAATGAGATGGTTTGTTTCAGCCTTTATGCCATCCACCCACCTTTCTCTTCTCTCTTCTAAAATAGACTTCTTGGGGCACCTGAGTAGCTCAGTCAGTTAAGCCTCTGACTCGATTACAAGTCAGATCATGGTCTCAGGGTCATGGTCTCAGGGTCAAAGGATTGAGCCCCACGTGGAGTCCTGTGTGGGGCTCCACGCTCAGTGCAGAGACTGCTCGTCCCTCTCCCTCAGCGCCTGCCCCTGCTCTCGAGCATGCATACATCTCTCTCTCTCTCTCTCAAATAAATAAACTCTCAAATAAATAAATAAATATATAAAATCTTTTTAAAAATATACTTATCTATGGAATTTTAACCATAAATGTCTTTTTACACTCAGTGATATTACTTTTTTAATGAGAAACACCATCATGCAGAAACACAAAAATTTTCATACCATTGTTTCTCAGATATGTTCATATGTGGTGAGCACTATTGCTAGATTTTTTTTTTTTTTAAAGATTCTATTTAGGGTGCCTGGGTGGCTCAGTTGGTTAAGCAACTGCCTTCGGCTCAGGTCATGATCCTGGAGTTCCAGGGTCGAGTCCCGCATTGGGCTCCCTGCTCAGCAGGGAGTCTGCTTCTCCCCCTGATTCTCCCCCCTCTCATGCTCTATCTCATTCTCTCTTTCAAATAAATAAATAAAATCTTTAAAAAAAAATTCTATTTATTTGAGAAAGAGAAAGAGCACAAGCAGCAGGGAAGAGGCAGAGAGAGAGGGAGAAGGAGAAGCAGACTCCCTGCTGAGCAGGGAGCCCAACGAAGGACTCGATCCCAGGACCCTTTGATCATGACCTGAGCCGAAGGCAGATGCTTAACTGACTGAGCCACCCAGGCACCCCCTATTGCTAGATTATTATGACATGATGATATATTAAATTCCAGTATTCAAACTAATAATTTTTCCAGTATATGACAATATCATATGCTTCTAACACATAGCATGACCACTAACTCTTATTTCCAAAACAAGTAAAAACAGTCTCTAAATTAACTATAATAGGCTACCCTCCCACTTTTCCATTGTATTTGCCATACTTATTTGTTTAAATGAGCTATAAGATAAAGCAAAAATTTAATAAAAATTATTACAGCAAGGTTAAGATTAAGAAGATTCTATCTACTAGTTTACTTTTTCTTTAAAAATAGTGAAAAAATTGGGGCACCTGAGTGGCTCAGATGGTTAAGCGTCTGCCTTCAGTTCGGGTCATGGGGACCGAGCCCCACGTCTGGCTCCTGGGTCAGTGGGGAGCCTGCTTCTCCCTCTGCCTTTCCCCCTGCTCGTGCGCTCTCTCTCTCTCTGTATCTCTGTGTCTTGAATGAATAAATAAAATCTTTTTTAAAAAAAGTGAAAAAATTATTCAATTTTAATAACAAAACACCTAAATCTACCATGAAAAACATTAGTGTGATTTGAAACTACTGGTTCAGACTATTCTAAGTTAAACTACCTTTTCAACTTTCGGTTAGACACTGTATCCAGGTGCATGTTTGCTCAGTTCCTAGCTATGTTAGAGGCTTTTTTAAACAATAAAGCATAAATTGGAAAAACAAGATCCGGGGAGGGTGGAATCAAAACAATAAAACAAATCCTAGCCCAGATTAAACTTAATTGAATGGTAAATATTTTTATTCTCTTTTCCACTCATTAGCTCAGAAATACCTGGTTTGTCTGACCAGTTAAAATACCAAAAATATAATCCCCCTTTTGGAGAAAGCCTGGCCAAGTAACGGGAAAGACCCAGTTTTCTTAGAATAAATAATCACTGTATCCATTTTTCTAAACCTATATCCAGAAAAACAAATAAAATTAAGGGTAAAAATTTTAAATAGCAATTGTCTGCTGCTTTCCCTCCTACCAAAACAACTATTAACATACAGTGTGAAAGAGCAATGCTCTGATTAATTATGCACCAATTTCCTCCTAACCTCACTATGCCCCCATCCACTTGCCTACTTGCAGTTCCTCAAACAATTTATGCCTTTTTCCTTGCCCCAGAGTTTTCACACATATAGCCCCACTCCCCTCTCCCGGATGGCTCTTCTTCTCACTCTTTGTCAGGTTTGCTTACCTACCCGTAAGGTCTGAGTTTAGGGGCACCTGGGTGGCTCAGGTCATGATCCCAGGTCGGGCTCCCTGTTCAGCGGAAGCCTGCTTCTCCCTCTCCCCACTCCCCCTTGTGTTCCTTCTCTCGCTGTGTCTCTCTGTTAAATAAATAAATAAAATCTTTAGAAAAAAAAAAAGGTCTGAGTTTAAATGCCATTTCTTCAGGGAGGTCCTCATTTTACATTCCTTTCTACTATCCTGTAGTTTTTCTTCATAGCACTTACCACAATTTGTAATTATACCCACAAACATATACATAAAGTCTCTTACTTTCTAGACTGTAACCAAAAGCTCTCTGTTTTATCCAACACCTGGAACAGTGCCTGGCATAGCTGGCCCTAACACTCACCTTTTTTTAAAATATTTGAATTAATACATAAATATTTTGTAAATTTGACTTACATGAACAGACAAGCAACAACAATGAGATTCCAAAGGACTTTATCATTTTGTGCCAAGCCGCTCTACCTCCCTTCTCCCTATTGCAACTTAACACCCCCTTAAATCCTTACTAGTCATGTGGTACTCCTACCTGCAAGAATCATTATTCAGTTAGATGACTAATCATGACCTCATTCGGATTCCAACTTCTACAAAATTGTCAACTGCCAGTCATCTTTCCTATAGCAGCCTTCGGTGTCCCTCCCAGAGCACCCAGAGTGTTCTTTAAAACCATAGATCATGCTGGGATGAGCACTGGGTTAGTTATACTTAACTAATGAATCATTGAACACTACATCAAAAACTAATGACATACTATACAGTGGCTAACTGAAAATAAGAAAAATAAAATAAAGTAAAACCATAGATCACATGTTCAAGTACATTGTCATCACCATGATATTTTCAGTATTTTCAAATTGTGGAAGGCTACTGTCATCATCCAGAAGCTCATACAAAAGTGATGAGCTCATTATTTTAGTCATGTGGCACTTGTACCATGCCATCCTTCAGTATGTCCTGCCTTGTAGTGTGACTGACAGACTGAGATTCTCTTTCTGGCTACAGTAGATTTTAAATGAAAAAGATATGAAATATTCTAGGATAGGCAGGGCAAAAAGAAAGGAAACTACCATTTATTGAGCGCATATGAGCCAAATACTGTACAAACATATATTCTTATTCAGTCCTCAACAACAACCCTGTGAGGTAGGTAGGTATTATCCCCATTTTACACCTAAGGAACCAATTTTCTGACAATGCAGATTGTCTCTTGAATTTTTCTGTTGACATTAACTTCATTTATTTACTTTTATCCTCCCTATTGTAGAGATTTTGGCAGCTGTATACTAGAAAATCCTACTTTACTCAATAAATACTAATTTAATGAAATAAAGTTTCACAGTACATCAATGAATGATTGAATCAGAAACTCCCATTCTTCTGTCTCAGATTACATCCTTTTCTAACCCTTTTAAAGACCTTCTGGACTACTAAGCATTCTTGCTTGGCTTTCACATTTCCTACTTATTAAATACACACATAGTACATAGTACATTGAACAACACAGGGATTAAGTGTGTCGACCCCTGGACAGTCAGAAATTTGCATATGACTTTGACTCCCCCAAAACTTAACTACTAATAGCCACTGTTGACCAGAAGCCTTACCAAAAATATAAACAGTCAACACATATTTTATATGTTCCATGTATTACATTCTGTATTCTTACAGTAAATTAAGCTAGAAAAAAAAGAAAATCATAAGGAAGAGAAAATACATTTACAGGCCTGCACTGCATTTATCAAGAAAAAAACTCCATGGATAAGTGGACCCACATAGTTCAAACCTATGTTGTTCAAGGGTCAACTGTATACTCATCACAGCCTAATGGGCTCTCTAGGCTCAGTCTCCCTAGTTTTATGGGGACCAGGAAACTAGCCTGATGAAGAATAGCTGTTGAATGTTCTTAATCATGAAAGGACCTCTCCAGCTTCTAGTTAAAAGTAGTTCTAGCAGAGTTCACTTGTCTCATAATTAGATAAAAGAGACTATCTACCTCTTATCTATACCCAAAAGGAAACTCTGAAGTTTTCCTTCATGGTCCTCCTCCAGTCCTGCATGAACGGACCAGGACTGAAGAACTTTATCTCCTTCCTCTACCTTCTCTTTGAAGGATGACCTTGGTCCACGTCTGTACTCCTGAGCAAATAGAACTTTTGATTTTCTTTCTCAACTTCTTTTTCGTCTCCCTATTCCCTCAGTTGACTCCCAACTTCTCTGGACTCTATAATCTAGATGAAAGCATGCTTCAAGAGGAAACCAGTCTGTGGTGGGAGGACCAGCTTATTTGTGCAATGCCAGACAAACGTGGATTTCTAAGATTTTCTTTGCAATGGTACTATCCACCACATCTACCGTGGGTCTTCAGGATTGAGACAGCAGAAATGAAACTATACTTCTCAGTCTCCAGGGTATATGGAGTGTAGAGCCTCATCTGGCATCATTTTGGGTATCTAGGGAAATGTGTAGGGGAATATCCTATTTGTCCCTTTATGTCCCACTAGAAAGCTATTCTCTGTTCTCGGAGGAATCCATTCCAATAGTATATGATCACTCATAAATGTTTCTTTCCCCCAGGATCTTCAGAGGACACTGTAGTTGTAGGAGAGGCTGTCCATGCTGATACCTGCCACGGCTGCATACAGTTCAGGCACCACCAACTCGGGTACTTGCAACACAGCTTTGTCATTTGCAGTTCGAGCGGCGATTTCTAGGCGTGAGTGTAGCTCTTTAAGTGAGGGGCGGCTCTCCTCACTCCAGCGCCAGCAGGACTTCATAAGACCATACCTGAAAGGGAAACAAGAGAAACTGACTTCCTTGACAAGGCAAATGTTTGAGGAACGTTGTCTCTTCTCCTAACACACCTTAACAACAACAACAATAAAAAACCCTGCAGTTCATTCATCTACTTCTCACTGTCCTCTCCTATTTTTACAGAGAATAATATTCCTTCTTATCCTCTTAGTATTAAATCACTTAATATCATCTTCTCATCAGGACCCTTTTTATAAAAAGAACGACTGAAGATTTCTCAAACTAGAATCAGTATGACAGAACCAAGTTTTTCTTTCTATTGCCCAAAACTCTCAGAAGTTAAGTGTTCTCATCCTTTAGATGTTACTAACTTGTAGCATTCCAGACCATTGCTATAAGGTATCTCCCAGTAAAAGCTACCTCACAGCCAACAAAATAAGAAGTTATGGAATAATATGATTCACACTAATTTTAAATAATCTAATTAATTAGATGTTTCCTTTCATTAATCCAGGTCATTGCCCTCCTTTATTATTTAGCTTCTCCAGGAAATTGCCTTAATCTAGATAAAAGTACTTACCACCTTTACGCTGTCTTTTCTTCAATCCAGTTTACAAAGAATTAATAATGTAGTCTGTTATCAAACACTTCTTGTCATGTCTCATCCCTCTCAAGAACCTACAGTGGTTTCCCACAGTCTGCCGTGTAAAACCGACATCCTACCTGCTAGCTTCTCTGCCTCAGAGACCTTGCCTAACTGAACCCCTCTCCTCCAGCCAAGTCAGTGTCTTGCTATGCCCCCGATGTGGTTGTTAACACCCAACTCTGTCTTTGCTCATGCTATGCCCAATTCCTTGAGCATCCTCTCGATGGTCGTCGTTTCCTACGGGCTTGTTTTAGATCTCAATCCTTCTATGCAGCCTTCCCTTATAAGCCTCAGCCCACACTGAGTCTCCCACACTCTACTATTGTACAGTGAGACTGTGTAAAAGATGCTAATTTAATAACCCTGATAACATTTAGCAAGAACTTACTTGTTTTATAAGGCATGGTAGTGGAACTTAACATGCATTATTTTATTTTAGCCTCACAATAACTTAGAGGTACGATTATCATTATACCTATTTTCAGGTAAGTAAACAATGTTCGGTAAAGTAACAGGACTAGGAGTGGACATGTGTTTTTTTGACCCTGTGATGTGAGTCTGAGCTTTTAATCCTTCTTTTATGTTGCCTCCCACTTTAAGTTGATTTTCAGGTTGTTTTAGATATCTCCTCACCCAAATATTGAATTCTTCAAGATCGTATACTTTATTGGTTAAGTGTCTCCCCTCCCCCAATATAAAGGACAGATTTTTACACATAGAAAAAGCCTATAAGAAGTATTTTTCAACAATCATTCCAGTATACCCAGGCAGTATTATTATACTATATACATGCATGTGTGTGAGTGTGTATATATATAAATGTATATAGTTATGATATTTAACATTTATAATCTGCTTGATACAGTAACTTTATTGGTGGGGAACTAGAGTGATGGATATTTACCCTTTCAATGCTGAAAAATTTATAAAATAGCAATAATTTTATCAGAAATTTATATTAATATATTCTCCCCTGACTTCTTATAAATATTTTAACCTTTTCTTATATTCTATAACAATCCCTTTTTGTAATTTATAGGTTATAAAATTCTGTGTATAATTTTTAATTTTTCCATTTTCTGCCTCTGCACTGGCTCATCAGCTGTCCCCTTCTGCTGACATTATTGGATACTCCTTCTCCTATCTTTCTAATTTCTTTCTACCCCCTTCTGGTTGGCTTCTAATTTGCTCAGACCTGGAAAAATAGTCAATATTTTTTAAAAGTTAAATACTAAATAAGAGCCAGTGAGTAACTCTAGAGCAATGGAGGGACTGCTGGGTGGCTCAGTCGGTTAAACATCTGTCTTCGGCTCAGGTCAAGATCCCAGAGTCCTGGGATCGAGTCCCCCATCAGGCTTCCTGCTCAGCAGAGAGGCTGCTTCTCCCTCTGCCTGCCGCTCCCCTTGCTTGTGCTCTCTCTCTCTGACAGATAAATAAAATCTTAAAAAAAAAACAAAACTCTAGAGCAATGGATTTTTATGGCAGCAATATTAGAACTGAGGCTGGCAGTCTCTGACTGATACTGACATTTAGACAAGCAAAACACTACTGTATTTACATTGGATTTGGACCACTTCCTACCTATTTTAGAAGCTTCTGGAAGAACTAAACTTTATCAACTTAGATTCCTAATACAGTTTTCAGTTGTTGCCTCAACACTGTGTATGTGTGTGTATACATACACATACACATATATACATACATATATAAGTATATATGATATATGAGTGTGTATGATATATGTGTGTATACATACACATACACATATATACATACATATATAAGTATATATGAGCAGATGTATTTTACTGCATAGGTGTGTCTAAGGCTATGTATTAGGATATAAAGGACAGCTAGGGATTATCTGAGCCACTTTAAAAGGGCACGGTTGATGGGGATCAAAAAGGAGTTGCAATGAGAGAAGAGTAGACCCTAAAAACCACTTACATGGTATGTGTGCAGCTAGTGGGTCTCTTCATTATTTTCCTTCTTTGGAGATGTTGTAGGATGCCAGTAGGAGGGACTTCAGGATATGGTGGTGCCCCTGTTGGTATGAAAAAATGAGAGTAGCAAGGGAACTTTAGGTCCTCTGGAATATTAACTATAACATGACTCTATATCCACCTGGGCTAACTGCCTGCAAAAGGTAGAGCCAAAGGAAAAATGCTAGATACAATATAGTTGCTCCCTGATGATCAAGTAAGAATGCAGCTTAGAGAGTTTGGGAGTAAAAAAAGGTGTTTGGGAGGAAAAAAACTGATAATTTAGGAAAATGTTGAGTTTTTACAAAAGTAACAGAGCAAAGTGAGAAATGAGACCTGCCCTCCACTCCCCAAACATGGGAAAGTACTATATTTTCTCAGATAGGTTTATAAATCTAAGGACAATGTATTTATGTTTATACAAAATCATTCTTGGAATTATTCTTTGGATTTTAAAACCTCTTTTGGAATTAGTAAAGTGTTGAGGGAAAAAAAAGAAAGCAAAAAAAAAAAAAGTTAAAAGGAGGAGAGGGATTTCATATCAGCCCAGTTCAAACCTCAGAGATCATACTGAAACTTCTTCCCCGTAGCATATGCCATCCCCCACCCAAATAAACATACTTGTATATTTGCATACAGGTACTACTTTAGGGACCCTCCTTACCTAGAGTCACCATCTCATAAAGCAGGATCCCAAAGGACCAGCTGTGAAAGAAACAAAGCCATTTACTTAATTTATATTTCTGCCTTTCCTAAAGAGAGCTCACTTAAACTATCAGGGGCCTTCAAGTGAGAACCCTATAATGGCAATGAAGGGGAATTAAAGGTGTCTCAAAACATAAGCAAAGTAATTAGAAAGCATTTCTGTTCAATCCCTTTCAAGTCTAATCTCTTTGCAGACTGGATTTATGTCTCCTTTCTTCTATATTTCACACTAATAGATGTTTACTATCATTTGCTGAACTGTGTGTGTGTGTTTATGCAAACACACAAACACATCTACCCAAACATAAATTACCTTCCACATCTTTTTCATCCTTCCCATTCATTCCTGCTGAAATTCTAGCCTTTGGTCTTAGCACAAGTCTCAGTGAGGTTTATCATTTATCTACTATTTCCTCAATAGATCTAACTGCCCAAACCTAGGAAAAATATTAACAAAACAAGCTTTACATATAATGGGAATAAATATTTGCCAGAGCAATATGATTTAAGACATGTTAATTTCACTATTCTATAAATCACATTAAACAAGCAGTATTTCCCAGTTAAGCTTATTACTCCCAGACCTCTACTGAAAAGCAGATGTCAGTGAAGCAGCAATGGAAATCTCTTAATTGACTCACCATATTAACTGATGTTCTAAATTTCCTCTGCTGCTCATGACATTCATACTAGTAAGATATTAAATGTTACATCTATGTGCTTCGCCAAGCTGCTGAATTATATGGTTACCGAAAGTCAACTGTGATTTCTTTCCAGTACTGTTTATACCATCAGATGCATCAATGTAATTATGTAATCAGTTAAATATAAATGCAAAAAAGTATCAGCTCCTGAAAACTAGGTTGAATGCTTTGAAAGTATTCTATAAAGATATACTGCTAAAAAGAAAGCATTGTCAAATTGTGTGGGTGAGCCAACAGTAGAAAATTGGAAAAAATAATAATAAACTTCTGCAATCATATTGCTTCACCATTTTTTTCAGATTTCTCACTCAAAATCATCCCAAGCTGAAACTCAAAAATAATGTGTTATGGATGCTATTTATACGAGAAATACAATGTATAACTTCACTTGGCAGGTCAGTCCTCATAAAAAAGGCTTTGGCCCTCCCCCAAAAGATCAATCAATAAATGTACATTTATATGTTTTAAGTCAAAATAAATTATTCAAAGTATGTATATTTCTTTTTCTTTTAATAATTCCTGGTTTAACTGAACTTTTGATTAAGTGGACCCACCTCGTTCAGATAAAAGGGACTCTACTAGATTAAGTCCTTGGATATTGGTATAAATAATCTTTTCACTTTCTTTTCTCTTTCCTGATTAAGGCTACTAATCTAATACAGAAGGAATACTTTAAAAGGCACTAAAAAGGATTGCAGCCAGATGTCAAATATGAGCTCTGTCACAAAACACACATTTCTCCTGGAGAGTCTGTCTCACTTCTAAGTAGAGATTTCACATGTAGACATAATTGACAACAGATACAGTCATGGTCAGGAACTGGGGGACATCTAGGTCAAGAAGGGAAGAAGTCCAAAGGGCAGGAACAAACCGTACACGTCTCCTTTGATGCCAGCTGGTCTCAGCAGAAGCCGTTCTGGGGCGAGCCACTTGAGAGGTACGGTGTGAGTAGCCGGGATGGCCCCTCGGGCATGGACTTCGTAAGCCAGGCCCAGTCCACAGAGCTTAGCAGTAAGATCACTTTGGATCAGGATATTCCTAGCTGCCACATCTCCATGGAACAGATGCTTATCCTGGAGAAATTCCTGTAAGCATAAGATCAAAGATGGATCAGCTGTTTGAGTTCATGGCTTGAGTCACAGACAAGAAGAAGCAGTCCTAGGAATCCTCAAAAAGACAAGGACATTTTCAACTCTGAACAAGTTTCATTGATAATGACATATCACTTCCAAGTCACCATAATGAATCAGACATTTTTGCATTATGTTTAGGATTACCAAACTGAGCATATAATCCAAATAGCATTAATACTGGGTTTGGAAAGTATGATCACCCATTCTGTGTCAAGCTCTGACCCCTGCCTGAATTTACATTTCTCTCAGATAGGATCCAGCTACGCCCTGGAAAAGGAAGCAGGTTTCAAGTTTCTAGCAGCAGTCCCCCAGACAAGGTAATACACACATAGCGAAATTGAGTGTCATAATAATGAATTTATACAGAGCTTTATATCATCTCATTTTGTCCCTAAAATAACTAGGTCAGATAAATCTAAATGATTACATTAGGTCACACAGTTTTGAGTGGTAGTGACCAGAACCAGGTATTCTAATTCATAGGAATTAGAATTACAAATTCTAATAATTTTCAAGCCAGCCTACAAATCAGAATTGCCAGAGAGCTTTTTAAAAACTTATGATTTTTGCCCCAGCTTTACTTAACCAAAATCTAGGGAGAAGGAACTAGTAATCTCTATTTTTAAGAAGTATCATAATGATTCTAGCACAGCCAACAAAGCATTTGAAAACCATTGCACCTGGATGACAATGATTTGCTGCAATCATTTCCCCCAACATCAGGCTATTCAAGGCATAAGAAGCTGAAAAGCTATACATGACCAAAGAGCTAGAGATTGAGGTCTATGATGGCTAAATAAGAATGACATAAAAAAAAGGGGGGGGGGGTTAAGATGGTCATTTCCAGTCATTGATGATGAAGGAAACAGTAACTAGCAGTTTTCTGTCCCTGGTGAGGTGAGGTTTTAAACAGAGAAATTATACTATCATGAGAAGAATAAAGAATTAGTGACTTTAAGGTTGTCAAAGTAAGAAAAAAAATAGTACGACAATGCCTTGTAACTGGTAACCCAGAGCCCTGATCAGTGCATCTCTGTGGGGCACCACTGCAATTGTGGCTCACAATACGAGGTAGCTTGTATCCTGACACCCTAACTTTATCAAGGGAGCATACCAACTAGGACCTCCAAACACTGTAGATAATATTCACTTCTACAATGTGCTCTCTCCTGTGCCCCATGGGAACTTCGGCTGTAACTACTGCTCTTTTTCACCTCACTGCTTTCCTAAGTTTTCCCAGATTCCATTTAGATCCCTGGTACGTTTCACACCTCAAGGAGGCAAGATATGTCAAATACTTAAAACAGTAGCTTCACAGAGCCTGATTTTCTATATAGCAAATGCTAATTTTAAGCAAAGTTATCTAAATAACTTCATAGAAATTGTCATCTAAATTTCCTAATTCTGGTAAAGGTACTTTTTTTTTCTCTTAAACCCTTTTTTTCTCTTACTTCTTTATTTAAGTTGGTTTAAAATGAAGGAATGATCTCACTGTTGCCCCTTCTTATTTCCTTTTTTCGTGTTCCTTGTTCTTTTTAAAGTATATGTATTTCCTATCACATTCAGTATCAAAGCAAGTCTCCAGCCAAACGTGTTCTGAACTCGTCTTTCTTGTTTTTCAGGCATAAAATTGTGCACTTCCTTCTAGCTCTGCAGCCTTTCACCCATTTGGTTTGTTTTCCCGTGTCTCCTCCCAACTCGCTCGCTATTTGCCATTTTACATCTCTTAATATTAGTATATATGGGGAAGTAAGAGTGTCAAGCATATATCTCTTGGCCCTGGTTTTTGACCTTTAAGACTGAGAAACTTTTAAAATCCTTCCTGTTCCTTCTACAAACCCTAAGTTGATGACTTTCTGCCTAGAATTACCAATCCTGTGTATATTATCTGAATAATTTCATAAAGAAAGAACTGAAAACAATTTATCAGTGCTTGAGTTTCTGCCCGTTAACTTCCATCTGATTTTCTTTATAATCTATACCCCATTTGGAAATATAAATATGAGAAATATGATGTCAAATATCAGACTAACAAGAAAAATCCATACCATACCATCTGTTGTCATTTTTCCCAGTCTTACCAAAGCCCGGAGGACCTGCCTCCCGATGTGATATACTTGTTTTTCTGTGAGATCATAGAGAAGGCCATCCATGGTCATCACATCCTAAAGAGACAAAGAAAAAACATGATATCAAAATGACATGAACAGATCTAAAAAATAAAATAGGGGCAGAGATATTCTTAAATGCAGATGTCAAGGCAAAGATACAAAAACATAGGGATGAAGATTCAAGGAGAGGCTAATATGAGAGATTCTCAGATATGCAAAGAAGTACAATGATATATTGACCTAAAAAAAACAATAAGGAATGTAGATAAATAACCAGAATGAAGGAAGAACAGAATAGCAGGTAGGAAAGACAGATATCATAAGACTATCCCCTGGATAAAGCAACAATTTTCCTGGGGCACTGTGCGTGTGTGTGAATAATTAAGCACATTAAGTTAACACATTATTGAATGACTACTATGTGCCAGGTTCCATCTTCGGAACTCAGAATGCAAGAGTGAGCAAAATAAACATGTCTGCTGCCTTCTGGAACTTAAAGTGTGACATCAGAATCAAATAATCATACATAAATATATGGTTACATGTGTATAAGCTCCATGAAGGACATGAAAAAGAGCATATGATGGTGACAAAAAAAGATCTGAAGGATGAGTGGACAATGACTATGCAAAAAAAAAAGGAAAGGGAGAAGTTTGATGTAATGAGAGAAGCATGTGTAAGATGGTCTAAAATAGAGAAGCATAATCGTTTTAAAAACTAGAATAGCATAGAGCAGAGAACAAGTTACAGATGAATAACCTCTTACAAAGGCCTAAATGCCTAAAGACTTGCATATTGTCCCATTTGCACCACTGGATGTAAGGCATTAACAGGGTCCCTTTATCATACACATTTAGCAGTAAAGTAATCAGTCTTTTGAGGAGGCTTGATTAATATTGAACTTGTTCATTGGTAAGTGAGGAACTAACTAGGGAAACATGCAGTACTTCAGAAAGAGGAATATGTAGAGAAGCAGAAAAACTGCAAGCAAAAGGACTTGCACTTTAGCCTGGAAATTTCTAAACATTTACCTTTTTTTAAATATGAATTTGAAGTACAAAAACTTTCAAGCTGAATGTCTCCTCGTCAACCCTGGCATACTAGAGGGATGTTACGGAATAGAAGACACATTTAAGGCTAACAGAGATAAAATTACAGTCAATACTAACAAAAGTTTTTACATGCATAATTTCTGTTAATTTTAATAATAACTTATTATTATTATTCCCATTGTACAGATGCAGAAAATTCAGGCTCAGAGGGATGACTTGCCCAAAGTCACATCGCTCATAGGATATAAAGCCGAGAGTTCATACCCTAAATCTGCACTGCCTACTATGATAGCCATTAGCCACATGTGGCTGTTGAGAAGTTTATTATTTAAAACTAAATAAAATTTTAAAAATTCCATTTCCCAGTCACATCAGCCACATTTCAAGTGCTCCATAGCCGCATGTGATTAGTGGCTAACATTTTGAACAGAGCAGATAGAGAATTTTTCTGCCACCATAAAAAATTCTATGGGATGGTGATACTTAATCATTATTATGTTCCTATAATGTCTCTGCTTTGTCGTTTGCCAGGCTATTTGACATGTGACCAGCTAATCAGCCAGGTCAAGCCTTTCCTTCCTAATGCCTCTGCCCTGCTGCTCACCCGCCGACAGGTCCAGAGAAAGCTGAGCAGGTCCCCTTGGGCCACATCCTCCAGCAGCATATAGAGCGGCAGATCCTCTGTGCAGCAGCCTTGCAGCTGCACCAGGTTCTCATGCTTCCCCAGGTGCTGATAGAATTGGATTCGCCCTAAGAAATCCTGCACCTCATGGAGACCAGCCGGTTCTGTGGCAGACAGATGAACCAGGGGAAGCAGTCAGAACATCACCAATAAAATGGGAGGTATGAGGGAGGAAGCAACCTGAGATGGTAATTTTCAAGACTCCAAAGGAGAATAAGTATAGACAGAAAGTGAAGAGAAAGGGAACTAATTAGAAGATAATTCTCAAGGTCACTGATTTTTTTCTTGTCAGAACAGAGAATCATAGGCCTTAGAACTGGATAGTCTTTCATCTGCCTAAAGAGACAAGTGTTCACATTCAAATATTATCACTGCCTAGGCCTTTTGATTAGTATTCGTGCTTATCCTATCCTTGTTCTGTTTTATGTATCTGCTACTACTGGTCCATATAAAGAGAAAAAAAGAAAAGAAGGAAGGGAAGGAGGGAGGGAGGGAGGGGAGAAAGAAAGGAAGAAAGAAAGAAAACAATATTAGGGAAAGTGATAGTGCAGACAAATGAAGGAACAACCTCAAAATCCACAAAAAAACTGAAAAAATCAGTTTTTTTCATACTGGTATCAGTTCTAGCAACCTCAACAGGCATCACTGAGCTAGGGGAAAACCCCAAGAAAAACATTTCTGTCTCAAGTTTTCATTTTCTATCCCCTTCTTACTCAGCTCACAATTGTGATCACAGCTATTTGTTGATTAACATCTTAATGTCTGTGAGCTTGTTAGCATTCATGGCTGGGGGCTCACAATGGAAAAGTAAAAAAGGGGAAGGGAACTCAAACACTTCTTTTACCTTTCAAAGCCTTGAGGACAACACTCTTTGGCTTAGCAGGGTCCCCAGTGTACATCTTGGTTCGATAGATGGCCCCACAACTACCACTGTGGATCTGCTCCAGAACTTCAGAGAGTTGCTCCCGGGGCACCTGCAGCTTAGCCAGAGCATGAGTGGTAGTTCGTAGGAGGCTTTCCACCGATGTCTCCTTAAGTGGCACAAACACACTTCCTCCATGTCCTGCCACCTCCCAGCTTAGGCCCCTAGATGGAGGCACAGGGGCAATGCCTAGAACAAAGAGATGACACCAATCATCTTTTCCCTACCCTAGGGACTCCAGGAAAGCAGAGCCTGGAACACAGTGGCAAGCAAGTCCCTTTAGCAATTTTCTCTCTGCCCGATGTGGGGATACCTTCTGTGAACCAGCATCAATACCAACCCTGTAAAACATTTATAATAACCCTATTACTTCTAAGACAACTCAAGATGGACCTCTGGAAAGTGGTAATGACATTTTCATTCTACTCTTCTCAGGATTACAGTTCAGTATTAGTATGGAAACAAGTAAGGAAGTTCCTGAGTTGGTACTCAAACCACAGATACCCGAAACATGGTGGTAACTACCAGTACAGACTAATGCTAAAGTCAATCAAATGGCTTTTAAAGGTGGAGGGAATGTATGGATAACTACTCAACTCTAAGCCGTGCCTATTCTTCCTCCCTTAAGATGTCCCCAAAGTCAAATTGCATATTTCCCAGAGTCTCAGTCAAAAAAAAAATCTTCTGGTACTTTCCCCTTTTCTTACTCAGTTTTTCTCCACTGGAAAAGAGAAATTCATTCTTCTCATTAAACCTCCATTCATTCATTAATCTATCCATTTATTTGGCAAATATCACATCCTGCATGCCAGGAACTGTTCTAGGTGTTGGGAATAGGTAAAGCCCAGATTCTTATGATTACTTTCTAGTGGTAGGAGAGAGGGGAAACAGATAATAACATATGAGGAGATGAGTGTTATAAAGGAAAATAGCAGAATCAGAGGCTATCCGTGATGCTATTTTATATTTCAAGGCCAGGAGAGGCCTTTCTGATACGATGAACATTTGAGAAATGCCTGGAAGCAATTAGAGAGCAAACCATACCGGTATCAGGGAGGATATTACAGACAGAGGGAACAGGAAGAGCAGAGGTATTGAGGAAGAAGCATACTTGGCATATTTGAGGAAAAGAAATGAAGTTAGTACAGCTGGAACCATGTGGGATAATTGGAGAATCATACGAGATGAGGCCAGAGAGGGCCCAGGACATGGAAGGTCATTGGAAGAATTTTGTCTTTTTTTTCTAAAAAAAAATTATATTTTATTTTATTCCAAGCAGAGAATGATCAGGACTGACTTAGGCCTTAAAAGAATCATTCTGCTGTCCTGTGGAGAACCATAAAGGGACCGGGAGAGAAGTAGGGAAACCAGTTAGGAGTGTATTACAACGATCTATGAGAGATGAGAGAGCCTTGAGTTTCTTCTAAAGATAGAGTTAACAGGATTTGCTGATGGATTGGATACAAAGTATGAGAGAAGAGGAGTCAAGGACATCTGCAAGATTTTAGACTGAACACTTCATAGAAAACCAGAGGACATTTGTGAGGGAATTTCAGGACCTTTGCTGTGGGCATATTACATATGAGATGTGTATTGGATCCAAAGTGCAAAATAAGTGGTCTAATACAGGAACCTGGATTTCAAGGGGGACTACAGTTAGAATAGAGAAAAGGGTTTGAATCCATAAGACTGAAAACGAGACCATTAAGGGAGTGACTATAGGTTTAAAAGGAAAATAAAGTGTTTCAAGAAGGAGAAGGTGCATAATTGTTCCAAATGCTTTTGACAGGTTAAGAAGAGGACTCAATATAGCTGTTATTGGCAATCTCTGAAAGAATTGTTTTGGTGGAGTGGTGGGGATAAAAGCCTTATTTTAGTATGTTCAAAAGAGAATGTGACAAGTAGAAGTCAGGAGAGTGAGTTTAGACAACTTCTCTGAGAAGTTTTTCTGGAAGTGAATTAAAAGAGAATTGGGATAATTTTTTAAATGTTTTATTTAAATTCAATTTAGTTCACATATAGTGCATTATTAGTTTCAGGGGTAGAATTTGGTGATTCATCAGTTGCTTATAATACCCAGTGCTCATTACATCAAGTGCCCTCCTTAATGCCCATCACCCAATTACCATTTAGAGAGGGAATGGGGATCAGCCACTAAACAGTTTCTGATCACTATCATGATTTTTTTTTCTCCTCTTTACTCTTAGTTTCATGTAAGCTAATTCACTTTCATTATATGCTCACTGGTACTTCAGAACAGGATATTATCTCCTACTTAATGTTTCAAAGACTGCTATGAAGGCTACCCTTTTTCATCATATAGTCCAGGAGCACAGAGGAGGACTGGGATCTATTACAGAGTAAAATGTCATCCTTCGAGGCTGGTAACAAAGCCTTGGGCTTTACCCAGTAATCTTCCTCCCCAATATGTAGACGCTCGCATGGCTAAATATTTGATAGTGCAATAGGACAAAGAAGATAGAAACAGGTCACATGAAGCCTCTCTTGCCTACTGTTGTTTTAACTAGCAAGCATATACTGAGTTTCTACTCATGACTTCCTAGAGAAGAGCTCACCTCCCCTCAGCTCCACAAGAGGGACCCCATACCTCCTCTCCCATAGCAGGGACTTCACCTTCTAGACTTGGGCTCATTGAGACTTGGCTCTTATTTTCTGTAATCTCCATCTTCCCCAGCCCTTCTCCCAGCCCCAGTTTGAGTTTTACCTTGGAGTCCAGGAGACTGTTGTTGAGCTCTTTGTCCTCTGATAAAAAGCCACAGGATGACTGCAAGAAGGATAAGGAAGGTGCCAACCAGAATGGTTGGGATGATGATGATCTCATACTGCTGCTCCCGGACAACTGGGTAGGAAATCAAGCAGGAGGAGGAGAGATTGAAGAAGAACCCCAATCTGATGTCCACACAACTTCCCCTACCCACACAGTCCTCAGCTCCTCATACGTGAAATGATCATTTCTTCCTTCTTCCCCTCCACTTCCATACAATGGAACCACTATTGGGAGCAGCTCTCTAATCAGAAACCCCAGTGTCCCCACTTCTCAGCCTATCAAGTGTGCTCTGTGTCTCATCTCTCATTTTTCCTGCTGAGGTGAAGGATGCAGCATCTGGATCTCTGATTGGCACTTGTCCCTCTTCAAAGACAATGACCTCTAGTGCCCATTCCTTTAAGAACGCCGTCTTCATTTCTACTAGAAGTCAACTCATCCTCCTAGAATCTATGCAGAACCTCGTCTCTGTCATCCTAGAATCAGAAGATAGGCATCTGTGGTGTCTGTCCTTACCACACAGCTTGTCACTGAGACTGCATTCCAGTAGCTTTCGTGCCATGCCCCTCTCATCTCCCAGGCCACACAGCTGTCCACTCCTTTGCTTGGCCCTCAGAGAATGCACAGAGCACCACTGAGAATAATTCCCAAGGGTGAAATTATTCTGAAAAAATAAAATGGAGCATACAGAGAGTTTTAAGATACCTCAAAAGATCATTAGGTATTAAGTACATCACTACCTGGAACTTTCTTTTTTTTTTTATTTTTTTCATTGTTATGTTAATCACCATACATTACATCATTAGTTTTTGATGTAGGGTTCCATGATTCATTGTTTGTGCATAACACCCAGTGCTCCACGCAGAATGTGCCCTCTTTAATACCCATCACCAGGCTAACCCATCCCCCCACCCACCTCCCCTCTAGAACCCTCAGTTTGTTTTTCAGAGTCCATCGTCTCTCATGGTTCGTCTCCCCCTCCGACTTACTCCCCTTCATTCTTCCCCTCCTGCTATCTTCTTCTTTTTCTTTTTTCTTAACATATATTGCATTATTTGTTTCAGAAGTACAGATCTGTGATTCAACAGTCTCGCACAATTCACAGCGCTCACCATAGCACATACCCTCCCCGATGTCTATCACCCAGCCACCCCATCCCTCCCACCCCCCACCACTCCAGCAACCCTCAGTTTGTTTCCTGAGATTAAGAATTCCTCATATCACAGTGAGGTCATATGATACATGTCTTCCTCTGATTGACTTATTTCACTCAGCATAACACCCTCCAGTTCCATCCACGTCATTGCAAATGGCAAGATCTCATTCCTTTTGATGGCTGCATAATATTCCATTGTGTATATACACCACATCTTCTTTATCCATTCATCTGTCCATGGACATCTTGGCTCCTTCCACAGTTTGGCTATTGTGGACATTGCTGCTATAAACACTGGGGTGCACGTACCCCTTCGGATCCCTACATTTGTATCTTTGTGGTAAATACCCAGTAGTGCAATTGCTGGATCGTAGGGTAGCTCTATTTTCAACTGTTTGAGGAACCTCCATACTGTTTTCCAGAGTGGTTGCACCAGCTTGCATTCCCACCAACAGTGTAGGAGGGTTCCCCTTTCTCCGCATCCCCGCCAACATCTGTCGTTTCCTGACTTGTTAATTTTAGCCATTCTGACTGGTGTGAGGTGCTACCTGGAACTTTCTGAGTCATCCATTCATCTCTATCCCTCTACCTGATATTCAAGGTGTGAAGAACTTTGTTTTTTCCTAGCATTTTCCCCCTTTCTATTATACAACAAGTATAGCCCTGATCTGGCCTTATCCTTTCATGCCATTGTTTCTCAAATTATTTAAAGGTTCCCCTCCTACCCAAGACCCCTGCTTCAATGCTCAAGTTCATGTTCGCACCACCCGTCTGAGCAATTGTGGTCCATGGGTTATATGGAAACGATCTACCTCCCCTATAATCCTAAGCAGGTTTAATATTTTCTTTTCTGTGTATCACTTATTTTTTAATGGGAGCTTCCCCTGGTCATTATGTATAGACAGACACAGGCATTCAGTCCTACTAGTATATAGATTAAAGGGAGTATCAGAACCAAGCCATTTTCTTTTTTTCTCTCTCTTTAACTATATAATATATACATATATATGTATATATTCATAAGTTACAAAAATAAACAATTAAAGTGCTATACCATAAAAATCTTTCTCCTACCCCATCCTTCTCCATTTATTCAGTTCCCAGTTCTCCTCCAAGTAAACTAGTTTCTTGCTTACTGGGCCAGAGATTCTTTAGGTACATCACTTTTAATTCTGTATGATCAGCATATATTTGAAATTACACCTCCCCAAACCTGGTCCTTTCTTTCTGAAGAGAACTGGTATATATATATACAAACTTTATTTTGCCCTTGGTAAACAAAAGTCTTCCCTGGTTCTAATTAATTCTGATGGATCTGGGGGGAAAAAAATGGTGATTTTTTTTTTTTTCAGTGTCTAGGTGATCCTAAGTGTGTGATCTAGTTTTGTAGTGATTTGATAACAAGGTAAAATTTTACAAATCAGAATTACAGAATACTATATTGTACATAAGTGCTATTCACCATATTATGCGGTCTTCTATTACATGTTGTGCTTTATTATTGATACTAATAACCACAATGTGACTTATTGAGGCAGAGTCCCTTAGTGCCTGAAACACATATATAAAGAAACCTTCCAGTTCCAGCCTCACCCCCTTTTCACTATTCTTGAAGCTCCGTGATTGGGAATGAGAATTAGACAATTTTCTTACAACTCAGAAGAAAGACAGGTGTGTGGTTGGTTGACAGAAGCCCATGTATACAGAGGAGTGGCCAGGAGGAAAACTGGGGAGAGGAAAGTCACCTTCTTGTCTGTGGGCTTGTACATAACAAGGGATCTATGAAGTCAATGAATTATAAGATAACAAAGCCCATCTCATCTAGTTTATAAGTCAAGAAAGCAAGGTGAAAGGGAGTTGAGAAAGTTTCCACAGTTCCACAAGACCACATGGAAGGAAAGCACTGGTGCTAGGGCAAGAATCAGGGAGCCTTGAGATGGTAGAGAAGGAGAAGAGCTTAAATAATAAAACGTTAGCACAGTCCAGAGAATTCAAAAGCTGCTTGAAAATGTCTCACTGCCATTCTCATTCTTGTTCTCCTTTCCTCTTACTTCCTTTTCAGTGCACTATCAGATGTAATTGTGTTCATTCAGGGAGCAGCCAGTTTAACAAGTTTGGCTCTCCAGGGGAGTGTTCTGTGAGCATAATCTCTCTTAACCGCAGTACAAGTGGAAGAAAAAGTCGGTCAGCAGCTGGCTCCAGCTTGGAAGTTCTGCCCAGAAACCAAACTACACACCCACTAATACATACCAAAGGAAGACATTTAAAGGCCTGTGTGTACACGTATCCTCACTTAGAACTGCTCATGGTGGCCCAAACTCAACTATAGGCACATGGCCAAACATACCCACCCACACGCAGTGACTCAAATCCATGCTTATACCCTTGCACCTACATATCACACTTAATTACAGAGCACAGTGTGGTCATTTGGATACAGTATGACCTTCTATTACATTTCCTGAACAAGGTTCATTTGTGTATCTTTATTTGGGCATGGATACTTTAAAGAAGAAGCTAGGCTTAGTAACAACAAGAAACCCAAAATAATTGGATGCTAGACCAAGGAAACAAACGTGTAGGGCTATGGTGAGGGCCACTTGGTAGATTGCTTTCCAGGCATTTGTACAATAAGCTCTTTCCAACTATTAGAGTTTGGCTAGAAACATATGGAATATACGAAATGAGTCTAGAATTTTTAAGGTGAACACACCAGGCATACCCACCCCCATAGGCATGGAAGCCTACGTAGGAAACCTTACCACCTTTAGAGCCCACCAAAGCACTTATATCAGAAGATGCTCATATACTCACTTGTAGCAACAATATTCCTCTCACATTGCTTTTCTCTCTGCAGTTAAATATTCAATTACCACATGACTTTGCCTGTCCACTGTGTCAACCTGAGAAAAGACATGCCTTGATGCCAGAACTTTCTAGGATGACTCTTCCTATTGGTTAGATTCTAACCTATCAGTGTTCTTGACCAACATTTCTATACAATATGACCAATACTCTACCCCTTCGATTACATCTAGACAGTTTTCTCACTGCGTTAAGACAAAAATGTAAGGGCGCCTGGCTGGCTCAGTCAGTAGAGCATGCAACTCTTGGTCTCAGGGTTGTGAGTTTGAGCCCATGTTGGGTGTAGAGATTACATAAAAATAAAATCTTCAAAAAGAAAAAAAGAAGTGTATATTGGCTACTCCTTCTCTTACCTAGACTGTAAGGTCCTTACATATATAAAACATTATCCCACAGTTCTCTCCTTAGTGCCATGTATTACTAGTATTACTGGAAGCCATTGGAATCAAGGATCCAGTAAAGTTGGGAAATTGTTTATTCTGATAATTCCATTTAATGGTTGGAAAATATGTACACAGCTTGCCTATAGTTTACACATACCTACATCTAACAGTGCCAACTCTCCTCAGGCAGGGCTCTAATTAAAACAATATTATTCCCTCATTTGTGGTTATCATTCCTTATCTTCTCTCTTCTCAATCACTTCTGACTTTCTGTTGGCATATTGAAAAGTTCAGCTCCCTTCCTGAATTGAGAATCTAGAGTAGGAAATAGCACAATGAAGAAGGAGATACAATAGGAAGAAAATGAGAGTGAAATGAGGGGTAAAGTTCAGCCCAAATCTTCACAAGATTATAGTCTGGACACCACACAAGTGAATGGTTATAACTGAAATTAAGCTAACTGTAAACATAAACTTTCCAAACTCGTACACAGAGGCACAACGCAAGCATAACACCATGCCCCATCTTTATATCTGTTTCATTACACACAAACACAGTTTTGGTTGCAAGAATAACACAACTCCTACTAGCAACACTTCTGTCCAGTGAGCACAGTGTAATCTCCCAGATACAGTCAACAATTTACTCAGGAGTATCCAGAAGAAATTCTTCTTACCAAATACACTTACAAATAGAACTTTAAAAATTAGATCCATTCTCCTGTATTCCATCTGCCTATGTGGTGTGAGAAATTCCTTGATTGACCTCTGTATAACACCTGGTGCCATTACCATAAGATACGATTAAATGTTACACAAGCCTCACCCTCAACCTCACCACCTGTGTATCAACACAAGTGGGTCCGCCAGCCATGTTCTTTTTATGAAGACAAGTGACCCACTCGCCCACATGGTTGCCACACTGGGTAAGGGAGTTACTAATAGCTATGAGCTATGAGGCAGAGGACTCAAAGAGTTCAGGTGAGAAGGGTAAAATATATGGAGGTAGTAGCCCCCAGACTGAGGCAGTCCACCCTCTACCTCACTCACCTTCTCTTCCCCTCCCCCTTCATCCTTATCCTTGAGCTGTCTGGTAAAACAAAACAAAAACCAAAAACCATTTACTGGAATGAACATGTTAAATTGGAAATGAGAGGGGCGCCTGGGTGGCTCAGTCGTTAAGCATCTGCCTTCGGCTCAGGTCATGATGCCAGGGTCCTGGGATCGAGCCCCGCATTGGGGCTCCCTGCTTGGTGGGGAGTCTGCTTCTCCCTCTCCCACTCCCCCTGCTTGTGTTCCTGCTCTCGCTGTGTCTCTCTCTGTCAAATAAATAAAATCTTTAAAAAAAAATTGGAAATGAGATAGAAAAGAATTGCTCAGATCTATCTACAGGATTCCAAAATTACTTAAGCTTTAACATTCTGAAGAGCAAGCTGTCCTTCCTATTTTCAGCTCCAATAAACATGTTGAGCAACTACAATGTGCCGGGTATTAAGATAGGCACTTTCACACAAAGGAGGAAACTGTGGCTCAGAAAGATTACGTTCTGAATAAGCCAGGGTTAAAAAAAATTAAAACGGAGGCTCCTAGGTGGCTCAGTCGGCTAAATGTCTGCCTTTGCTTAGGTCATGTGGGATCCATTCCCCTATGGGGCTCCTTGCTCAGCGGGGAGCCTGCTTCTCCCTCTGCCTGTTGCTCCCCCTGGTTGTGCGCTCACCTGCGCTCTCTCGCTCTCTCTCTGTTAAATAAATAAATAAAATCTTTTAAAAAAATTAAAACATAAAAAAGCAAGTAAATGACACAGCAAGGTTTCATACTTTAGTCTTTTAGTTACAAACCCGATATTCCTTAAACTACTTTACTACACATCTGTCACTCAAATGGACGAGACCAATAGTGTCAAGAAGGAATTATGTCAGAATCCAAAAGAATCATAGAAAGCATAATGCTGAAATCAAACTTCACCAACAAATACAACATAATTTGGGAAGGGCAGGTGAGTAGAATCTGCCTTTAAGTGTGTTCTCCAAGATCTTACAGAGGCACAGACAATGTCTGCATGTCTGTCTTCAAAATGTCTTCAGAAAATAAAGGTAGCATCAGAAACTTTTCCTAGTACTCACCAGATCATGGAATCTTGTGTCATTTTCTTTGTTTGCTCATTTTCCTGGATCTGATCTCAATCCTTTTTCTACCTTCTGCTTTTGGAGGGAAAGGATCTAGTTTCCAGGACTAGGAAGCTTTCATTGGGAGCATGAGGGTCAGAAAGGTGCTAGAACTCCCAGGAGACAGGGCACTGGCCTAAGACGTAGAATCACCGTGCAGCACCCAAGGCTCCACCTTCCTCCTGAAGCACACTTGTCAGAGGACAAAGAGTAAAGGGAAAGTACACTGAAGAGATGACCCTCTTTCAATCCAGAAAACCTGACTAGTGTAGATAACTTGCCTTGTGCAGCGTGGTATCGCTTAGTGAGGATGAGGCAAAGAGAAGGGGAGGTTACCCAGAGGGAATCCCTTGTCCTCCTGTTCTCAGATATTGAAGGATTGTGGTGGTTCTGATCTTCACCCTCCCCCACCTTCCTAGAAACCCAGAGCTTGAAACACACTTTGAAATGGTTGGTAGAGAGTCTCCTGTGGTGCCTAGGAATCCTGACCTTGTTTAAACAAAGGTCTTTTAACAGTGAGACTGAGTGTTATCAGCTTTTCTTGCTTCTTATTTTTACGTATCTATAGGAATTCCTAAAGCATGTGCTACACGGTAGAGATGAAGAAGCTGAACTTCTATCCTGGTAGCTCCCGAAAAGTTTGCTTTATAGAGGAACAACGTGATTGCAAGACAGGCCCCCTAACATCTAGGTAAGAATTGCAGTAATACTGTACACCCCATCAAATTTTAAATAGGATTACAGAGATTACATTTTATTTCCTTTGAGGTGTTACACAAATTCAAGACATTTTATTTTTATTATAATTATCATTCTATTTTTCGTGTTCTTGATTCCATAATTCTCCATCTACCACATTCGAACCTCAAAAGCCCAGAAATAGTATATGTATCTCAAATTAGATATTCTCCCGCTGATTGTTTTCTCTTCCCAAGATCACTAATGAACAACAATTTCCCCAGCCCAGAATAAAGATTCTCAATCAGGGAAAAGCCAAGGACACACAGCTACCGCCCACTTCTAAACACAGAATCGCTCTGATCCCTCTGCATCCCCTTTCTCCTACCTGATGGACACAACAGAAGACGTCTGCTCGGGGCTTCTCTCAAACACCTCACTGCTACTGTTGTCAGTCACAACGTGTTTCCAAGGATCAGTCCCCCTCTTTGCTACTCATTCTGCTAGACTTTTCATTCAGGGGTGGTGGGGAGACTTCTGGTACTTAAAAATCTTGGCAGTTTCCCCATAAATGAGGAGCCCCTTGTTGCTCTGCCATTTCTCCAGCCTATCCTAGCACACTGCCCTCTGGTGGAGAGGGGAGCCCCACTGTAAAGAACAGAAGGAACATTTTGGGAAGATTGCGGGAACACACACACACACACACACACACACACACACACACACACACACTTTCTCATACTCTGATAAATGAGTCCCAGACCCAGGCAGGCAGAGAGACAAATGGACAGGGGACTTCACAATCAAGAAATCAGCTCAAATGCCGTTTACCTCAGTGCTATGTCATACAGGGTGTGTCCCTATAAAGATTCTGTACATAGAAGGTAATCCTAGGTAAACAGCAACAAACGCCTGGCAAGACGAAAAAGACGCTTCTGGGAACGTCATTCTGCACAGCAAGGAGCAAACAGCAGATTCCCTCGTTAGGAATGGGTCAGCGTGCTTCAGAGCTGAGCAGTCTGGAAGTTGGGAGACATGGAATCAGCCCGGAGCTGGTGCTATGATAACAGAGTCAGAGGTTTGAGTTCTAGTTCTGGTTTGATAGGTGATTCATCAAGCATCCAGAGTATATAACACCTGACCTTGCCATGCCTTCTCTTCCTAGTTTAGGGAGAAGGACACCTCTTTCTCTCCTGAGGGCGGTGAAGAACCACAGAGAGCAGCAAGAAATGAATCACATCGGAAAAGGGGCCGGGCAACCAGCAAGACACCTCAACCAGCTACACCACCTTGCCTCTCAAATTCTGAAGGTTCCTTCAGACTGGCATCTTCTGACCCTTATCACGGCAGCCCCAGAAACTCTCCAGTTTCATTCCTATCCCTACCCTGCCTATAATTTCCTATGGGATAGTGGTAAGAGAAGGAGATTTGGAGTCAGACTTCTATTTGAATCTCAGGTCCACCATTCATCATGACTGCATATAAGTCATTCTCACTTTTCTGAGCCTCTGTTTTTCCACCTGTAAGTAAAGACAACAATATGTACCTGTCAAGGCAGTTGAAAGCTCTACAGGGTACTTGATGTAAAATACCTAGTATAGTGTCAGGCCCACTACAGACAATCAATATGTAGTATTCTCTCCCCTCCTCCCTCCCTCCTTCACCTACCTCTCAGGCTGGGAGGTAGTCACATAACTGTACCAATCAGTAAGCATCTATAACTCCGAATAAGAAAACAAAACACCTATTATCAAAATATTTATATTTGTGGGTCTAACTATATTTAGTCCTGTGTGTGAAGAGGAAGTTAAAGCAATCATAAAGTTAATGTGGGTTTTAAATCTCTTCATATTAACTAGATATGATTTGACTGTCTAAGTATTACACCTGCTAGGCGGTCTCTGAATTGGACAATCATGTTGAGGAAGGGAGATTTAAACAAGATGGATCAAAGACCATAATGCTGTAAACTAAGGTATAAAACAGATAGAATGCTAGATAGTGATATATTATTAATTAATTAGTTAATTAATTCACCTCCTGTCCTAAATTTCTCAACTCCTTCTAGCTGGTTCCATTGATACCACCTATCTGCTGGCTACATTTTTACCCAGTTCCTGAACCAATCTTGATGGAGGCAGTAAGAAGAGCAACAGTCTCAGCTCCTTCTCCCCATTCTTCTTACCATACTCCCCAATCTGAGAAGATATAAGGTTGATCATTTTTCACAAGGGGTATCCAGTTATTCATAGTTAATACCCAAGCACTGTCAAATCTGGAGTCCTGTCCCGAATGTGTCACAGGTGGATAGGCTCTTACTGTTCTTCCGGCTTCAATCAATTCTCTTTCATTAGATAAGAACTTCACACTACAGTCTGGTTACTGAGGTCCTGCTACAAGTGGAAAGGACCCCCCCACACACACCCTGATAGATACCCTGCTGGCTTGGTGCTTGAGTAATGGCCATCACCTCATCCCCACTATGCTTCATACCCACCCACACACCCCTGAACCCCTTGCCCCCACGGTTCTGCTCACATCCTATAAACCCAAGTTGCTTATTTTTGCCTACATTTGAGTCTATAACCGAACTGTCCACCTTTACCTAGAATTCACCTCCATAACCTAGTTAGTTTATCTCAAATCACTCACTCAGACAAGTGACCCTGAAGCTGATGAGAGGTAAGAAAAGTCACCCAGTGGATACAGGCAGAATGGAGATCACTCAGGGTCATAAAAAGAATAGTTGTAAGGCAGTAGCGGAGCTAGAGAGTGGGATGGTTCAGGGAATAAACAGAAAAAGGATGGGAGAAAGTTTAGGTAGCTTTCCTAAGATGTTTAAGTATGAATGAGAGAACTAAGTTGAGAAGTTCAAGGAGGACTCATACAGTAGATTTGTTTGGAAACTTAGGGCTCCAGCAAGATGAGGAAAAGAACTGGTGACATCTCAACATGCGGTAATCTCGTTCTAAAAACAAAACAAAATTGGGGGGGAGGGGCATGTCCTAGGCCTGAATATGTTACAAGGCCTAACACACAAAATGACATTGAAAAACAGAGAGTAAGATTAATAGAACAAATAAAGATCCCAGAAGTAAAATACATATTTAGGAATTTAATATAAAGAAGTCAGCATGAAACAAAACAAGCAGATTCTCTAACTTGGTTACACATTAAGAATCTTGTAGGGAGCTTTCTAAAAAATACCAATGCTAGAGTTCACTGCCCCCCACCTTGGAAGAGATTG